AAATGCACTTTTTTGCCAAAAAAAAAAAAGCCATCAAATGGGGCTTTTAATATTTTATTGTTGACAACAGTCGACGATTCAGAGCCACCCGTGCTGACTCAAAATTCAGGGTCTGTCGCTGAAAATGAGTACTATAAACATAATTAAGAAACTAATCCAAGTGGAAAATAAAATTAGGAGAATCCCTTAATCAAATATCTTGAGAGACTTTCGAGTTGAAGGAGGATTGAAGAAGCGCATAACTTACATTTCCAATGGAATTTCCAAAGATTTTAATTAGTATGTGACGTTTTCATAATGACGTTTGGCTGCTTCGTAATCACTCCCCGTGAGAAGCGACAACTTCTTTTGTTTCCACTATGTTGACTTGGTGACTTTTTGTTAACGTTTGTCACAAAACGTTCAAGGGAAAAGAACAAAAGAGAAAATGTAAACCTAACCAAACATAGTCCAATATAATTCCATTGACTCCAAGATCAAGTCATTGATATTTCTATTTATTTTTCGTTTTATGATAATATATATTCATTTTTATTGTGTAACAAAAATGATGTTTTAGATTTTTCGTTTTATTATTAATCATTGAAGTTGCTCCTTGTTACCGCACTCGTAACTCTCTCACTTTTTTCTATTTCTTTTTGAGTAACTTCGGATAAAATGGTCGATGGTTAATTTGCGTAGTACATGCATTTTTGTCTTTTCTAAATAAAGAGTTATTATTCTATATATCTTTAGTATGTATTCCAATAAATATAAATTTTTTTATAAAAAAGGTAGAGACATGTAGTAGATTATTTGATTGATAAATATTAGAAGTGTTTTCATATAAAAATTCAAATTAAATAGAGAATAATATATTTATTTATTTATATTTAATTTTCAGTAGGTTCAATCACATTTATTTAATAAAATTATTTTATTTAGTAAATAAAGACTCTAGTTGATGATTGACTTCTAACATTTTGGAATTATCTATTCACAAATTTCCTCACTCGCCCATTGTTTTTTTCACATACAGCAGCAATAAGGGCCAAATTGACTTTTTGGAAAGGATCATGTTATGCGTACACAATGGTATACGCACGGACTTAAATCCCCCTTACATGGAGGAGGGCCCATGCATAATAAAATATTTGTGGGCCCCCCTCCATGTTAGGGGGGTGTAAGGCCGTGTGTACACCACACCACAAGGTGTACACATAGCATTATTCTTTTGGAAATGTTAAATGGCATGTACGGAGTAAAAATTGGTAAACAAGCAGCTTTAAATCAAACATGGTGGGGTCTGTTGATTTTACACAAAAATCAATTTTTTCCAGTACATTTTTTCCAGACAGGTGCCTAGTGATATTCTATGATGTCATTTAATGACATACATTGCTTACATATATAACATGAGTCATGCTTGGTGTACATAATTTTTTGAGTAAGTTCCACCACATGTGAGGGAAGTGATACCCATATGTACAATTTTTTGTGTACACCAAGAATAATTCATATAACATTATTCCAGTCGATGATTGACTTCTAACATTTTGGAAATACTTATGATTCACATTTGTAGGGTGTGTTTGAGCCACATTATTTTGGAATAATGTATTTTGAAATAGTTGTGGTTGAAAAATAAGGAAAAGATATTGATGTGATAAAAAATATTATTTTATTAAAGAATGTGTGGTTGAAAATAAGTAGAAGAACGAGAATAAAAATTTTAATGTGGCTCAAACAAATCGGGACTTAATTATTATTTTGATATTTTCCACCGTAGAATTCTATGTTTACTTCCTGTTGGAGGTTTTTCTCTTCCACCAACTTTCGTGTTTACCATATGAAAGCACAACCCCACAAGAGCAGATTTGGACAAAGGTAATGTCTGCAAGAAGAAACAAAGCTGGTTGTACAGGGCCCATGTGGACCCTCGTTGTACAGGATCAGCACAACCCATGAAAGAAAGCCCACGAGAATTAACGGAAGAAACAAAATCAAGATTAATGCAAGCCGCCGAAGTGTCAAAATTTTCTCAAATATTTAGTGGGAAAGAAAAGTGTTAGGGAAATGATTTCATTCAATAAAAGTTACTGATTATTGAAAAATATGCTGATGACGTATAACGAATGACTTAGAGGGTGTTTGGTGAGGATTAAAATTAGACTTTTAATAAATTGTGGGACCCATGAAAGATGTGATTAATATTGATTGTTTGACTTTGATTTGGATTAAAATTAGATTTTAATCCGGATCACAACTTTTCAATCAAATATTTCATCGACTTTTATCAAAATATAAAAAAAATTTGATTTTTAATCTCTATCAAACAGGAGCTTAATATAATGAAGTGAACAAGGTTGAAGCTTGCAATGATGAAATATAGGATTGTTGATGATTTGCAGAATTTCTTGAACTAATCCTGTGTTAGCTGGACCATGATACATTTGATGGTGATATAATTAATGGTTTTCTTGGCAACTCTCAGTTTCCTAGCACTTTCCATTATTTGCCTTGTTTGACCCATTTTTTTAAAATTCATTTTTTCTTCAAATTCATTTTCGACCACATGTTTTGCGGGACCCACAAAATTTATCAACTTTTAAACCACACATTTGATCAGTTTTTATCAGAATCTACAAAAAATCTATTTTTTTTTTTCCTAAATAAAAAGGGGGCAAAGACTAGACTTGATGATTTTTACTCTATAAATATGCAAGTAACCACCATGCATACTTTCAATCATTCATTCATTTGATCAACATATCCCTACTAGTGACAGAAATACAAGAGTGCAAATTGGTTAGAGCTCTTCAACATGTCAATGGACACAAATCTTGATATTGACCTCAACATCAATCCCGAGCAAAACCCGAGCAAAACTATGGTAAGTGGGACTCGTAAGTCTACTTAAAGTATTAACGGAGAAAAAGAAACTAAAGTTTTGATACTCTACTTGTGTTTGATTTCTTAGATAGCAAATATTTACTAAGTTTCTTCATTTTTTTCTTTCCCAGAATGTGGAGTTTGAAAAGGAATCTGTGGGCGAAAGCAAGTCGTCAACGAAAGACGAGGTGAGTACAAGCAAAGTTCACTATGTGTTGTAGTTTCGATTCCCAAGAAACAAATTCAAGTGTAATTTTATTTCCTATAATCAAAATCCTCCCTTCCTCCTCCTCCTCCTTCTTCTCCATGATCTAGTTCAAAAAGAACGCGCCGGATTTAAATTATTTATGAATTACATTAACTTTGAGTTTATAAAACCCTGATGACATGCTTCGACCACGCTTTTCAATCGTTGTGATATGTTTTCAATAAGAATATTTTGAATTACTCATTTTCTTTTTAGAACTGCACTACATGTACAATGTTTAGAGGGTCGTAAATTTTACAGTTTTTCTAATTAGTGTGGGCCCCACTAATTAATTAGAGAGAACTGTAAAATTTACAGCCCTCTAAACATTGTACAAGAGGCTTTTTTGTTCTTTTTAATGTTTCCTCCAACTTCTAACCATAAACTTGTAATTCATGTGCAGCCTGTTCATTTTTTGATCCAGCAGTTAAATAGAATGAAGTTTGAGAATAAGAAGCTGATAGAATTGCTCAATATTCTCCAAGGAAATTACAATGATTTGATGCAAAAGTACTCAGGAGATGAAGTACTCTTGAAATCAAGAAAGAGAAAGGTCCACTGTACAGAAAATTGTGATAATTTTGTTGAGAAGAATGGAATCACTTGTAGCTGTTGTCATGAAGGGTCAATTGGGACTCCAAAAGAAAGTGTGTCAAATGTTTCGAAGGTTTATGTACGCGTTGATTCTTCTGATATGAGCCTAGTAAGTTAATTCTTGAGCTCAAATCAAATGAAAATTTGTTGAATCACCTCGTCTGAAAGGCGAAAGTTAATTCTTGAAGATGAAATTTGATGATCCAATGAAAAATTTGTAAAGTCCGTCTTACTGAACAAACCATAAAGGTCTAACGCGGTTTTGACTACAGGTTGTAAAGGATGGATATCAATGGAGAAAATATGGACAAAAGGTTACTAGAGACAATCCATCTCCAAGAGCATACTATAAGTGCTCTTTGGCCCCAGCTTGCCCGGTCAAGAAGAAGGTGAGTTCATTTCATGGAATTTGAATTCTATCGTGTATAGTTTGCATGCACTATTAGATTGGATGAGACACTAAAATTTAAAAAAAAATTAACTTTTCTCATTTTTCGACATAACTTATTCACTTAAGTTATGTCAATGCGCCTTTCTAGTGCAGCGAAATTTTTTATTTTTCATACTATGCTTAATAAATGTAAACGAGACTTGAACAACTTTATCTAAACGATTAACCTGTTATACACGGCAAACTTATTTATTTTTATTTTTTGAAGTGTCTTCCACGCGCATACCGACTTATTTGAGGAAATATTTGATTTATACTTGTAGGTGCAAAAAAGTGTTAATGATCCATCAGTTTTAGTAGCCATTTATGAAGGCAAACACAACCACAAGATTCCTTCTGAAGATGAAATTCCAATAGAATTATCAAAGGGTGTAACTGAAATTTCATCCTCCAGCTCAATCTCTATATCAATGGTTGATCAAATGGCTTCTACTTTAACAAGAAATCCAAGTTTCACAGCAGCACTAGCAGCAGCTATTACAGGGAGGATTTTAGATCATGAAATTGAAGAAAATTGATGCAAGAAAGGATTTCAATCTTTATTGGTATCTGGGTTCATTTGGGAATGTAGAGTGTAGCCTAAACTTGTTGAATCCTGGTTATTTACGACGGACACAGCGCCCGTGGTAAATACATCATGGTAAATGTCCATTTTCTTGTAGTGAAGACGTTTCAGTATTTTGGAGATGCTATTAAAAAATACCATCGGAAAGTGTGTTTGACTCTTCAAATATAGAGATCCAAATTTACTCTTTATTGTAAAAAGTTAAATTGAAAAGTCTATTAAAACTTCACATATATGATCCTCATTTTCTAAAAATTCATTTTCGATCACAGATTCTCTCAATAAAATAATTTGCTCGTAAACCATTTTTCGTACTTTGTAACCATACATTCTTCAAAAAAATCACTATTACAAAACTCATTTTTCACACAAAATTGGGCTCAAACACAAGTAATTTTCAGGTTTGATTCTTTAAAATAGGGATATCTTACATTTGAAAAATCTATTGGAGTTAGGGGTGGGCAAAAAACCGACCGAACCGACCCAAACCGACCGGTTTGGGTCGGTTTTTTGCATTTTTTGGGCGGTTTTCGGGTTTTGAATTACGTGGTCGGGTCGGGTTGGGTCG